ACTCGGACGTTGCGCTGTTTGGGAGTCAAATTTTCAGCTTTGTCGTAACTAGCTGTGAAAAATGAAAGGTGAAGTGATAAATAAATTTATTTACAGTTTCGATGATAATAATAACGAATTTACTTATGATGTTAATGTGAGAAATAACGAATTTTATTTAGATTAATCGAGGTACTAGTCTCACACCCATCCGTGTAAAAACCCACTAGGTTAGCCTTAAACAACTCGATAAAGATAAGTAAGCTTCATAAGGAAAAATACAAATCGAAGTTATTTGTATTATAACATAAATAGAATGAAGATGAAGAATGATAATGGTAATAAAAGCTCATGTATAAGTCCACAGTACATTAATTTGCAAGCGAAAAGTGATAAAGAGGAGCATGTTAAATTTAAGAATTATTACTCAAATTAGAAGGCTGTATGGGTGAGAAATGGGTCTGGCCAAATAAAGAGGCACAACTAGACTCGTGTTTCTCGAAGGAGAGGAGGCTGGCCGAAAGCTTTAGAGAAGCTGGGATCGTTCTTGTGGAATTTTCAGTAGATTTAGTATCTGAAAGAAACATTTAAAAAAGAGTTGAATTAGTTATGTGATTAGAAAGTTAATCGCTTGGGAATTCCGAGTCTGTGATTGAGCTGACTTAAATGAATTAAGGATGGACTAATAGTAAATCTGACAAGGCCTTTAATTTCAAAAGGCCGACGAGTCCATAACTAATGGTGGCTGTATTGTGCCTGATTCTCAACATTAGCACGATCAACTCTTGAAAAAAAAACAAAGAAATCGGATATGAGAGAAAGGAGGAAGTTATCGTTCGTATGTAGACTTAAGGATACCTACAACAAGACAGTTATGGTCTAGTCAAATGAAAAATCATTGTAAATACATTTAGAAGTTATGGATAAAATCAATACAATCCCAAAATTAAATAATTTATTAGAGAAATAAAGAAAAGATATAGATACATCCTGAAAGGAATTTAATAAAATAAAAAGAAATTGGCAGTATATACCTAAAACAGCGTCGTGCAAAGAAATCGAAGTGATAGATGTAGGAGCACTTTGATGCAAAAGAAATTGGCCAGAAGTATTATCAGATAGTGACCGTCCTATCTCTAGGGAGGCAGCCTTTAACAAAGGAGGCGAAGAGTAGGAGAGACAGTGATTAATAGAATTATTTGTATGAATAATAGACTCGTCATTTAAGGGCGGAGTCTCCGAAGATAAAAGCGAATTGAGTTGACCGGTATGCAGAAGCTGTTATTGTAGATCGGGTAAAATCATAGAGATAAAGAAGGAAATACATAAATAATTAGATCAAAATATATAAGATGATTTTCAGTTTAAGTAATAAGTCTATAAAACAATATATTCAAATATTTGTTGGATATTATTTTTTTATGAAATAAATTCTCAAATGCACTAGAAGAATAAAGGAATCGTAAAAAAGAGATAAAGTTTTATTTTCGTATACATTACATTGCCCTTGAAGAATTATTAACAATAAACACGAAAGATTCAACAGTGATTATACTTTTTAAAAATAAAATTTGCATTCAATTGTGCATTTAATTTGCAGGGCAATCAAAAACTCGTAAACAGACACCAAAATAAATTTCGTTATGGCAAAAGGATTTTTGAACTTCATGTAAAGAGATCTTGCATTAGAAGAACAATCGTGAGCGGTTTTCCTTATTAAAACAAAAGGGATAAGTTAATAATCAGTATATATATATATATATATATATATAAAGAGCATAAAGATTGAATACAGATACTCACGCTATCACGTAACAAGACGTTAGGCATTTCCTTCATAGCTACGCAGGTTGCCCGTCCTTCAGGTTGATATGAACGTCTGTCCTCATTATGGCTCAGGGCAAGAGGAAGACTTATAGGAATAAGTGAATCTCCATAAGGTCCAGTGTCAGCTTGTTCAGTGTTCTTAGTTTGATATTCACAATTCCCTATCTTCGATTGTACCTCTGTCAAAGCTGTCATGTCACCCTCAAGTGAATTGCTTTTAGGGATTTTATCAATAAATGTAAATTGTTCAAATTTTGGCAAATCATCGAGGGTAGGCCCATGATCAGGGGATTCATGGATTAAATGAATAAACGCCCGCGATAAAGTATCTGTAGGCAAGGATTCAGAGGCCAATGGCAAAGAGAGGTCAGCATTGGATAATTGGGGTTCTGACACCTTGGACAAGGGAACAAGGTTAGCTGCATTGTTGCCTTCAGCAGTATCCGGAGGAACAGTGGCATTGGCTGATACCTGTGAAGTGGAGAGGGGAGTAGTGCTAGTGCAAGCAGAGAGGCAACTAAATTGATCAGAAGGCCGGCCAGAAGAGATCGATGATGAAAGAATAGTAGTAGTGGTTACGGTAGAAGGTGATCCAGATGATAATACTAAATTACCCAGAGAGTTATCAGGCACGATAGATGGTGATTGATTCAGGGTCTAGAAAAAATGCAACAATCAATCAAGCGTTACAATGGAATATTCAAAGAGAAAAGTAAAAAATAAGGCCGAATACGCGTGATGGCCCAACATTGATTCGTTTGATTAAATAGGTTGTAAGTGCTTAGGGAAAATATCTAATACAACTTTACATTGAACTCCACGTTTCTTAGGAGCTTAGACTGGATACATATGCAATTCAGCAGCAAACGTACCATTTAACCCTCATCTGAAAACTGAAAGCGAGAACGAACCTCAATCATCTTGCTATTGAGCAATAAAATTGCATATCCACTCAGCATAATAATTTAATAGAGAATATTATGCCTGTATCAATAGACTCAAAGGAGAATAAAGTTTTTGTTCAATATCTACTAGTAGCATAGAAACCTACTCAATTTGATTATTAAAATTACCTTTCGTTCAATTATGGAATTGAGAGAATCTGTTAGGGATGCAAAAGCAAGTGATTGAGAAGAAGAATCTGTAGAAGGGCATGGCGTCGTACAGGACATCGCCTCCTCACAAGACACATTTATGTTTCGATGCGGAGTGGCATAAGAAGCCTCGTCAAGTCGCGGAAGTGGTTTGAACAAAACAGGTCGCAAATCATGTCTGATCCTGATTCCCGGAAAATTTCCAAGAACACGACCTATGTGAGGCCCTGATGCAACGGCTTCATAATGTTGCCCTATCGGACCAAGGAGATCAGGTGGAGGAATTGGATTTAAGTTGAAATAACGCCTTTTTTGTTGCTGTTCTGTGACAATAGTTGAGGAATTTAGATCGGCGTTAGTGAAGACCGATGAATTTTCTGGTATAGATGCGGCATAAGAACCAAAGGGAACGGGTAAAGCCGTTAAGATGGGAGGGGCAACACCGGAATGCAAAGAAGGTGATGACCTTGGCACCGATGGCAATGAAGTTGACATATGAATTAAATGGAAGCCGAGCTGATTGCAATTAGGCGTAGAACAGGCTGAGAAGAGAGGTGGAAAAGTAGTCGGAGCCAAATTCCGAGATGAACTAACAGAGGATGTTGAGCCTGGTGATGAGGCCGAATAAAGCGATGCGTCACCCAGGAAACCGGTACGATCGAAAAACTTGGCATGATGAGGTAAAACAGACCGGAGATTATCGCGACGTAGTTTCATACTGTTAGGCGAGGGTTCCGATTTCCAGTAATTATATGTCTCCTGAAGTCAGGATTAGTCGTATAAAAAAAATTAACTTATATTTTGAGAGCATATTTATATACTGTCTGTAATATTCGTAAAGAATTCAAAGGTAAATCTTAAATTGATTAAACACACTAAATAAATCTAAATAAAACAATCACCTGGTAGAAAATATACATCTAAGTTCAATAATCC